ATAGCCTATAGGAGCATAAAACATGCTCAAAATTATGCTATGCTTGAATGCCATGCTTGGCACTTGCAACTATTGAAAAATATGTACTACAGAAACCTAGAAGCAAAAATTGACAGACAGTTTTTCAATTGATCTTGGCTTTTCTACTCAATGCAGCCTAATTTACTCCACTTCACCTACCTTTCTTCTCCTTTCTTGCATCACATAGAAGCATAAACACGTGAAAAAATCATGTTATGCTTCTTTTTTCATGCTTCACATGATATTATACAAGCATATCAGTCAAAACCTGAAGCATATGCTTAAAATGCTTATAAATCCGAATTTACTGCCCACCAAAAATGGTCACATGATTTTTGATGCTTATCAAAAAATATGCTTGTAAAGGCAATGCTTAAAAAGGAATCCCATTGATTGATGATTAAGGTATACAAAATCATTTAAGTTGGTCTGAGAGTTTCAAGGTTATAATTTTTGAAGGAGGACTGGTTGTTTGGGTTTTGGAGAAACCCCAACAGGTGCTTCCCAGGATTGAAAGGATAAGAAGAAAAGACATCTATCAAAGTTAAGAGAGGGTATAAATGAAATCAATATTTAGACCAGTTGGTATCTAGTCTCTTCAGACAAGGAAAGCAAAACATAATCCAAGACAGTTTGACAAGAACTGGACTATAGAAAAGTGTAAGACCTGTGGTCATTACATATACACACATATATGTAGATGTGTACTTAATTAATAAAACCTTGAACATACACTATTCATATATATTTGTTCTCATTTCATTTACAATAGTGGATCCTTAGAGATATTGGGACTGATTAGTTACCCTCTATCCTTTGGAACCAGGTGAAGTTATTTTACTTCTTTCTTTCTGTTCATTACTGTAGCATTGTAGTTGTTCTTTCTAGTCAGAGATATTGGGACTGATTAGTTATCCTCTATCCTTTGGAACCAGACTGTATTGTTGTTGGTGTTGGAATCAAAATCACATCTCTTGGGCTCTAGAAAACCCTTTTGCTGTGTTTCATAGTATCCCGTTTGAAGTATCAAGTGAAGGTTCTCAGGAACCTTACAAAATGATTATCATTTTTGGAACAAGACCTTCAATCAAGAATTCAATAAATCTATAATGCTTTTGGAAACCTTCTTCATTTCCTCATGATCTTTTCAAGCTAACAATGAGATTTCAAGTTAAGTTTTAAATATTCATCTTGAAGACAATTCATCACATTTTTTCCAATGATAATTCAATTCAATATCAATCAAGTTTGAATCTTGTTTCCATTATTTTTCTGAGGATAAAGTTCAGGATATTCTTGATGAGGACTGGTTCCATTATATTCTTCTGTTGATTATGTATCACCTCTGTATTCTTTGGGCACAGAAGTTATGTTTCATGAACCTACTTTAAACTATTCATTGGTCCATCAATTGATCATCTTTTCAACTGTAAAACATTTTATTCACATTTTACTACGCAAGGTTTTTGTGTTACAATTTTTCTATCCTGATTCAATGATATAGTTCAAGTGGCAGTGTATTATCTTATCTTGTACTGTGGACCGTGGTTCGGAATGTGATTATATCTGGCTGAACTTGTGCTTCAGTGTACCTAGCAATGCTCAAAGGGGTGGTTAACACAACAAGGGAAGAAAGAGGAGTCAAATAAATTAATGATCAAGCTTGTTGCTATTTGAACTTTAGTACTCTCACAAGGTATCAGAGCAGTTGAATGAATGATATTGTTGACACAGAGATTGTGGTTGGTGATGATGAATTTGTTTGGAGAATATGTAACATTACTTTGGTTTTGTTAAGTTACATCGTAAACTAGTGTATTTGGCTTGCGTCTTGAATTGATTGGAATGGCTTTTCCAAAGATAGTTTACAAAGTCAAAGGGCGGCTTGAATTGAATTCAAGCCAATCAATGGTGAACTTTAAAGGTTGTTGATCAAAGAGAGGGCACAAAAAACACACAAGAGGGGCCTACGTCATGCTTAAGATTCTTGGGACTGTTTGATGTGTGCTCTCATGTGTCATCCAGGCTATCAAAGGGCGGTTGACGCTGTGGCAAAGAAAGATAAATATAAGTGTTATTACTGATTTGGTATCTCTTGTCAACACTTTCAAACAAGCCTTGTTTAAGATTTGATTTTATCAGAAAAAATATCAGCCGGTTTCATTTATCAAGATGGTTTCATAACTCAGAATGATCATTTTGAGAAGGAACATGCTAAATCCAGTGTCAGACTGAGTCTACAAATTGAGTTGAAAACACAAGATTGAGTTTGAATGTACATACTAACTTTTGAAAAGATGCCAAAAAATAATGGGTGGCTTTGTTACAATAAACTTATCCAGCTATCTTTTGTTTGAGCTGAATTTGAGCTGTGTGTTAGAAGTTTAAAGACAAAAGTTCTTAATGATCTTTTTGACATTGGCATATAATAGCCAGGATCCCTGGAGATGCATCTCACTTGTGTGGCCATTATATGTGAGAAGACTTGCAACTGCTGCGTGGTTGCTTTTGGACCCACTCCTCTAAATGTAAAATACACCTTACATGTATGTTGGACTTGTTACATTAGGTGCTGTTGGAGATGCTCTGTAGAGAGAGAAGTGGGAGAGAAATGCAGCTCCTTGAGGAGTGCTAGGAAAAGCTGGCTCAAGGATAGATGGTGTACTGTGTGAGCATGAGAGAATTGAGAAGTGAAAATTCTCAAACTCTCACCTCAGACCTCTCTAATTTCATTATGTGGTCCGACTTTTCGTCAGTCACTTCATGGCCTTTGCCCATCCCCTCTGTTCCTATTACTTGGCCCACACTCCATGATGTACCAGGGCTATGACCCAGCCCTGCATGGCCAACTTTGCCCAAACAGGATTTGGAGGCTGATGGTACGTGTCCCAACCCTTGGAAACCTACTGATGGGAGCTTCTGAGGCCCTGCAGGAGCATTGGGCGGACCCGGGTGCTGGGGTGCCCACAGATTCAGGGCATGTGCTGTGTGCTTTCAGGAAGATGTTGGGCAGAGTTGGCTGGCTGGGGCTGGGGACGGGTCACAACCCTAGATTTGTCTCATGATACAGCTGGATACCACTGTACTCATCCATCACATTGCCTCAATTTTGAGGCTTAGGCCTGTCTTAAGAGCTGGTCCAGCAATGAGCCTACTACAAGAACCCTCATTTGTTTGTCTTTTGCACCCCAAATCAAGCTACACTCTGGGTTTCTGAGGTTCAGGGCACCCTTGGTTGGCCCTGATCAACTCTTGAAGGCTTACAGTTCAAGCCAGGACCTGGGCTGGCCCTGCGTCTGGTCAAGCTTCAGGGTTGGGTCATATTAAGATGGACCACAGAGCCGCTCATGTGGGCTTCAGGATACATATGAGTTTTGAAAATGTTGATTCTGAATTGCATATGTGATCTAACTTAACATAGTCCCTCTCGGACAAACAAGTAGTCAAGAGCTTATACCTTATGTTAATGTACACGCATGTGTGTAGCCTACTTCCAATTTGATTCAATAGTATTGACAATACTCACAGAGCAATGCAAATGTGAGCAGAGGGGCTTTACCGGTGCTGGACATATGGCATAGTGTTTGATAGTCTAGCGGCTGCAAAAACACTAAAAAAATGCAAAAAATGCAATTTTGAAGTTTGCAAAAAAACACGCAGAAAGCTGACCAACCGGTCAAAAGCTCACACCAAACGTGCGGAAATGTTACACATAAACCAATTCTTCAAGTATGTTTTTCAGCGCTTTTCTGAAGCTAAAAGAGAATTTTAAAAGGACCAGTATGTGTAGGTTGAGCAGGCGCACAACTATTTTCTTTGGTCCAATGGACATTTGTCTGTAGGGTACGCGGGTATGGAGGAATGAAAGAGTCACCAGCCAAACAAGTCCCTCTCTCGACTACTCGTTCGTCATGAGAGAGTGTATCTGGATGTTTCACGCTTTATAAATCTAATCCCTCATGCAAAAATCATTGAACACGATCATAAAGTTGAACTGCCTTGACGATCGCGATGGTAAGACTGGAGTTGACCATGACCATCACCCTTGAAGAAAGAACGCGATCAAAACAATCGAAAGATCGAAGACACGCTGAGTTGGACTGCATGAATCGAGAATTTCCAAATGCGGTGAAGCAGAGACCCTGCGCAGTGACTGTATTAACCATCAGATTGTATGCATGAATCAATATATGCTTTCTTAGGTCAAACCTTTTCAAAGAAAATAGACAAAAGGGTCTGATGGGTCTTCAAACATTATAAAACATCATCGTCATCATTCACTGTCTTCATTTCCAACCACATCAAAACAAAAACATTTTACACTTCATCAAAAACAATCAATCCAACTCAAGATGCAATCAACCGAATCTCGTAGACGTTCAACTCGAATCTCTAAACCAGTCTCAGTGATCCATACTCGTGTATCTTCTGCAACTACATCTGATTTATTTCCATCTCCTGGTAAAAGTACCGCTCCTAGCAGTGTGATTATCACTTCAAAGCAAAAACGATCACGTGATTCTACTCTTCTTGATGATAGTCCATCTCAACCCAAAAAACCACGTGTTTCTACCAAACCGTTAGCTTTCGTTTTTTTCGTTTTTCGTTTTTCTCTACAATTGTTGAATTTCAAAAGTTAATGGTATTTTTTTATTTGGTTTAGATCTATTACCAAATCATCAGTACAAAATCAACTTTCACGTGACATACCTAAGAAGAATACGAAGCCAGATGTCAAAAGCAAAGGAAAAGGAAAAGCCAAAGTTACGGAAATACCTGATCATATTTCGGACTCCGATCAATCGATCACGAAACCAGGAATCAAGATGCTCAGTAGTCCAGAAGCTTCAGATGATGAAAAAATAATCAAACCCACTAGTAAAGCAGCAGGCAAACGTAGAATGATTTCTTCTAGTGATGATGATGAACCTTTGATGAATAACCATGACGATGTCGTGATAAGCGAAATTGAAGAAGAAATGGTCGAAGCTGTGATTGAGCTTTCTAAACGAGAGCTTCAACCCATCAAAGCTGGTAGTTCTTCTAAACTCGAAGGGAAATCCACCACCCATCGCCGTATCACTTCTCTGCCTGCTAAACGTTCGCAGCGTCCTAATCGTAAATCTGTGCCGATCGTATATGATGAAGATGAGGAGTCAACAGATGAAGAAGTTATTAAGAAATCGAATTCAAAACCAAAAACCACTCGTGAATTGACCAACAAACGTGTTCAGAGCACTACTCGTCCTCAACGCAATGCTCGTAAATCTGCTCCAATTGAAAATGATCAAAGTGATGAAGGCTCAGCAGTTGAACTCTCGGATTTCGAAGGAGAAGTCGCCTCATCCGACTTATCCTCATTGGAGAATCGCTCGGGTTCCGACTCAGATGAAACCACTTCACGACCCCAAAAGACGCGTACCAAGAGTCCAAGACGTAAAGCAAAAGGAAAGAAGTCAAATTTGACATGGTGGCAAAGAAATCAACTTGCATTAGAAAAATATCATCCTGAATTAATAGACGTTTGGGGTGATTTAACTCAAAAAGTTGAAATAGTTCAAGCTAATAAAGCTGAACAACCTGATGGTCTTAGTTTAACTCTTTTACCTTTTCAACTTGAAGGATTGTATTGGATGAAAAAACAAGAAGCTGGACCTTGGGCTGGTGGAATGTTAGCAGATGAGGTAAGCCTGTTTTTTCAAGATCAGTTTAATTTTTTTGTTTCATAAATCGAGAAGTTGACATGAATGTTTGATTGTGTTTAGATGGGAATGGGAAAGACTATTCAAACCATCTCTTTGATCCTTTCAGATCGTAAAGCAGGTGATGGGAAACAAACCTTGGTGATAGCACCTACAGTAGCTATAATTCAATGGAGAAATGAAATTGAAAAATTCACTAAAGGATTAAAAGTGAACGTATGGCATGGAGGTAATAGATCGACCGATAAAAAAACAATGAAATCCTATGATATAGTTTTAACTTCTTATGCAGTTTTAGAATCAAGCTTTAGACGACAAAATTCAGGATATCGAAAATTTGGAGAACTTAGAAAAGAAGCTTCATTATTACATTCGATTCATTGGCATCGAGTGATACTTGATGAAGCTCATAATATCAAAGATAGGTCTTGTAATACTGCGAAAGGTGCTTTTGAACTTCAAGCCACTTTTAAATGGTGTTTAAGTGGAACTCCTTTACAAAATCGGGTTGGGGAATTGTATAGTTTAATTAGGTTTTTAGGGGCCGATCCTTTTGGGTATTATTTTTGTAAGAAATGTGACTGTAAAAGTTTACATTGGATGTTCTCAAATAAAAGGTCATGTGATGAGTTGAGTTGATTGATTTCCTTCTCTTTCTAATAACGTATCACTAACGTTCTTGGTTTTTCGGTTCGTTCAGTTGTGGTCATTCTCCAATGCAACATGTTTGTTTTTGGAACAATGAAATCCTTAAACCGGTACAAAAATATGGAGCTTCAATCGAAGGGTCTCATGGCCATACAGCTTTTAATAAATTAAAAGTTTTGTTAGATCGAATGATGCTTAGGCGTACTAAACTTGAACGTGCAGATGATTTAGGACTTCCTCCTAGAGCTGTACATGTTAGAAGAGATTATTTGTGAGTCTTTGGTTTGATTCTCCTTTCTTTGAATGAAAAAAACTAAACTATATCATATATCCTTGTCGTTTCGTTGATCTTCTTCTTGATAGTACTGAAGAGGAAGAAGAATTATATTCTAGTCTATATTCTGATGTGAAACGAAAGTTTTCAACGTTTGCTGATGCTGGTACAGTGTTAGTGATCATCTCTCTCAAAACCCAGATCCATAAAAGACAGTCAACCTAACTATCTTTGATTGATCTGTTCATCATCATTTATTGTTTAATGTTGTTTGATTTGATACATAGATTGAATAATTATGGTAATATATTTCAACTGATTACTCGAATGAGACAAATGTCAAATCATCCAGATTTAGTTTTAAAATCAAAAGTTGCTAGAGCTGCTTTTAATATGGGTGATGAACATGGAGACCTTGATTCGATTCATACTTGTCGACTTTGTTTAGATGAAGCTGAAGATGCGATCATCAGTTGTTGTAAACACATGTAAGTCAAACCCTCCCCCTTTAGATTGCTTTCTTTTAGCTTGTTGGGTTGATAACTGATGATGATGGTGGTGGTGGGATTTTACTAGATTTTGTCGAGAATGTATAAGACAATATTTGGAAACTGCAAGTGAAGTAGAACCAGAATGCCCAGTTTGTCATTTACCAATCAGTATTGATCTTTCGCAAGAAGCAATCGATGAAGAATCATCAAGTAAAGCTAGACAAGGAGTTTTAGCAAGATTGGATCCAGGGAAGTGGAGAACTAGTACCAAGATTGAAGCATTAGTAGAAGAATTGAGCAAATTAAATAAAGAAGATCATTCGTAAGTCTTTCTTCTAGTAAAATTTTTTTAATTGAAAACAAAGATTGATTTTGTTGGTTCGCTTGTTTGTTTGTTCTAGGATTAAATCCTTAGTATTTTCACAATTTACGGTTTTTTTAGATTTGATTGAAAGAAGATTACAATTAGCAGGATTTAAATTAGCTAGATTACAAGGTCACATGACACCTGAAGCAAGAGATCGAACCATCAAACATTTCATGAATAACAATGATGTACAAGTGTTTTTAGTTTCACTTAAAGCTGGTGGAGTGGCATTGAATTTGACTGAAGCTTCTAGAGTCTTCATCATGGATCCTTGGTGTGTTTCTTTCTTCATTTTTCTTCCTGAGTTTTTTTTCTCTTGAGAGGGTTGGTCTTGATGCTGTTTTGGTCATGGTTTGGGATTTTTTTTCTAGGTGGAATCCTGCGGTTGAATTACAAGCTATGGATAGGTAAGTTTTTAAAACCTTATGAATTGTTTTTGATTTTTGAATCAAATCTTGATGATTTGATTTGATTCGAATAGAATTCATCGATTAGGTCAACATAGACCCGTAGTTGTTACAAGATTGATTATTGAAAATAGTATTGAATCTAGAATAGTTGAATTGCAAAAAAAGAAAGAAGCCATGACTGGAGCGTAAGTGATCTGATGAATCTTTGATTTGATAATTTTGCGAAACTACAATCTGATGTGTTTGTTTTTTTGGGTTTTGGGATTTTGATTTTGAATTTTAGTGCTTTGGGTGATGATGATCAAGCCTTGGGTAGATTAACACCTGAAGATTTGTCTTTTTTGTTTACTTTATAATTGAGGTTTTCAGTTTGGGTAGACATGAATTTGTTTTTGTTTGTTTTTGTTTGTTTAGATTTTTTTTAATATGATTTGTTGGGATTTGTTTTCAAAGTATAGAGATTTTTATAGATTTCCTTTTTTGTCCTTTGAATATCGATTTTTTTCTTTTGTTTTGAGTTGTTGTTTTATGAGAGTCATCTTTAGAATTGGAAATCCAATCTAGTAATATCCTTCCTCGTGATCTGATGGTCACATCTTCTGTAAGCTTTCGCGCTCCTGGGCGCTGTAGTTAAGTTTACACAGTGAGAGTGCTGATGAGAGTGTAATTTTGATTTTGGTCAAAATTTACCTATTCACGATTTCAACGAGTTTCTGATTTTTCAGATCAACCACTTCCCTTGAACTTTATCCTCATTCAAACTTGTATCCAGAAGGACGTTTTCAAGTAAGTGACTCAAACTGATAGGAAATCTTCAAACATTCTCAATCAATCTTATACTGACTTCCTCGATCTTGTGTTTCTAGGATCTCAAATAATGACAAACGATCCATCCAGTAAAGAATCTCATCAACTTTTACAATTACAATCTATCATTGACAATCCAACCAGTTCAAACCATTCAAAAGAAATCATACATAATTTAATCTTATCATTAGCTTCATCAACTAAATCGATCAAATTTAAAGCAAACAATGCATTAGCAATCTTACTCTTGAATCAATCCAATCAATCTACAACTTTCTTATCGAATTCGATTTCAGATTTATTAGATTCGACTGATCTTTTAAATGGTTGTATCGCTTTAAGATCTTTAAGTTCGATACTTCAAATCTCTCCTAGTCTAGGTCTCGAATTGGTTTCTAAAAATCATGTTATCGATCGATTAGATGATTTGATTAATTTATCTAACATTTCTCATTCAAAATCAAAACTTTCAGAATCTACAGAATTTAATGTTGATTTGGAAATCTCTGGGTTTTTGGCTTTGGCTACTAATCATAAATTGATTAGAGAATCTATTAGTATCGAATGGTCAAATGGTCATAAATATCTTACGTCTCTATCTCTTTCGAAAATTAATAATCATGGATTTAATATGCCTACTAGGTTTGCTGCTTCTTTAGCTTTAATCAAATTACAAATCGCTTCGACTGAAAAAGTTAATGAAAGACCTTTAGTTGATGAAGATCTTCCTACGATTGGAAAACTGGTTAGGATTTTAATTGATGGATTAAGTTTGGATTGTAAAGATTCTTTAGGGTTCATTGTTGAAGGATTAGCTTTAGTTAGTGAAAAGGCATTTGTTAGACAACTTTTAATCTCTAGTCAAGATTCCATGTTAAAAAGGTTTCATGAAGCTGTTTCTCAAAAAGCTTCAAGTCAGAATCAAGATTGTCAGTTAAAAGTGGATACTTCAATTGCTTATGGAATTTCAACGATTTTAAAAAACTTGACATCGTTCAAAGAACTCAAATCGGAAGAAGATCAAGTCACTGAAAAATTACGTAAATTAGCAACTCAACAAAACCAGCCCAAACAATCTAAAATAGAAGAGATTAATGAAGATGAATTAGTTACAGTAGAAGATGAACAAGTTTATCAATGGATCTCAACTTTACTTTTTAAAAATCATTTATTAATGGAATTAGTTGGAGAACTAAGTAAATCTGAAAGTAAAGAAGTTCGTAGATTAACCGGGAAGATCTTATTTAATTTAATTGAAAAACAAGACTTCAGAGGAAAACTTTTACAAGATGGTGCTGGTAGAATGGTATTAAAAATCACTGCAAGTTTAACTATCAATTCAAATTCGAATTCGAATTCTATGTCCAAAGAAGCAAATTCACAACTTGATCCAAACGATTTACCTATACTTCAAGCATTATCTAAACTTTTAATTACGACTAATCCATTATTGATTTTCGGACCATTACCTACTTCTCCACTTTTAATTTCAACTATTAAACCACTTACCACACTTTTACTTCATCCTTCTTCAAGCTTACTTCAAATCTTTGAAGCTCTAATGGCTTTAACTAATTTATCTAGTTTAGATGAACGTTTAGCTTTAGGGATTGCAAGTACGTTTGGTGTTTTAGAAAAGCTTGAAGAGTGTTTGATGGGAATCAGAACTGGTGAAAATGTCTTGGTGAGAAGAGCTGCTACTGAATTGGTTTGTAATCTTGCTTCGACTGAGATCGTTTTACAAAGTTTTGTTGAAGAAGATAAATCAAGTAATGAAAAATTGAATTCGAAAGGGAAATCTAGATTACATTTATTGATTGCATTAAGTGATAGTGAAGACTTGAAAACTTCTTTAGCTTCTTCGGCTACTTTATCAATCTTAACTGAACATTCTTTGATCATTAGAAATGGATTAATTCAAGATGAGAAATTAATGAAAAGTTTAACAAGAGTTTTAAGTGAGATTTTAAAAGTTGATGGACAAGTTCTTGGATTACAATTTAGAGGTTTAAGTTTATTAAATAATTTGGTGTTGGAAAATGATGAATTGATGAAGAATGAATTTAATGAATTGAACGAGATTCTTTTGGATTGTTATGGGAGGTTGGAAAATGATGATCAGGATGAAACGAAGGTTGAGATGAAAAAGTTGATTGAAAATATATTGAAAATTTAATTCAAAGTAAATCATGACATAAATCATCAAACCTTTTTTTTATTACACTTAAAACTATGACAGTTTGTCAAAACAAAAATTGTACTTGATAAAGCAAAAGAAGTTGTAAGTTTTTTTTTGTTGTAAACTTTAGTTTTGTTTGTAAGATGATCATAACTCATCATTTCTTTTGTGATAAAATTGATATTGAAAATATCCAAGTAAGCTGTCCTTCAAGCCTATTGCACCACAACCTTTTGAGATCTTCCAGATTCACTCCAGTTTTAGGTACAGCTATGTACTGGACCAGGTGAGCGAGATTGATTGATTAGAAAGTAGATTTTTCAGTTATGGTTTCTTCTTGGGCAATCAATTTCTCGACCTTGTACATATTCAGGTGAAGGTTATGGTATTGATGAGATATGAATCAGGTTCAATTCAAGCTAATCCTAAACAAAGCACAGACCACGTAGACCTGTTCCGTATCAATGTTAGTACTTTTGGTGCAATATTTTGTACATGCATACTTTTTTTGGACCAATATAGGGCCAAAGCCATACCTTAGGGCATGTTCACTTAAGCAAGTTCTGGTGAGAAAGCACATTCTGCAAAATTTAAGGTGTCTATTTGGTGGTGCATGTTTCATTTTTGCATTAAAAGATTTACAGAATGTGATTTCTGGTCAGAAATTCCTCAACACACCCTTAATTTTCTGGGTATATTAAGGGAAAAAAAGTGATGATTTGTACCTTGCAAATGGGTAGTCTTTCTTGTCATTGTGGAATGTTTTTTAAGCAATTCAATCTGTTGAATGATTTTGAAACTTGATCAGAGATGTGATTGATTTTGTCACCACTGTTTGTTTTGAAGTTACATATATATATATATATATACAGAAGATATCAAAGGTTGAAGTTTTCTTCAGTGGTGATGACAGATGTGTATATATAACATCGAGGAACCTGTTTTGATTCTTTTTTCATTGATTGATTTTAGCTTCTTCCCATCTTTTATCGAGATCTTTTGATTAAAGTTCTTGGATCATTTTGTATATTTGATCTTTTCTCTATCTTTTATTCCTTTCTAGTGTATGCAACTCCAAAAAACAGGATTGAAAACCACCTTCCACCTTTCCCTGCCATGGTATTACTTAATTAAAAATTGTTTTTGGGTATGCTTTTTAAAGACTTTGTCAACACCACGGATGTCCATTGATTTCATCATTCTTTTTGAATACCTATTGTACAAAATCAAGCTCCTATATCAGATATATAAGAATTCAAGCTTGTATTAGGTCCTCAAACCTGTGCAAAAACCATGCAAGACCAATGTGCAAGATTTCTTGCACCAATCTTGCACATTAATTTTTTTCACAACCCCCGCTATTGTGTTACAACTGGTATGAAAACCATCCAAGACCAACATGCAAGATCTGTGCAACTTCTATTCATGTCTTGCACAAAACTTGCACAGATTTTTGCATAGGTTTGAGGACCATGATTATCTGTCTCTTTTGTACCAATTTTTCTCAATCTTATATTGATGGTTTCCTCATTAATTTTTGCATTGTTATGTTTTGGAATCATTGTTTTGTTTTAAAAGATTTGATATGTATCTAGAGCAACACTAATGATAATTTGATTTCTTTAATCTCTTGATAAATTTCCTATTTTTATTCATCTCACACAATTGCAAGGTGGTTGGTAACACCATCTCGGTATCCTTGTAGCACGTCAATGTGCACACACGGAGAGTTTTGAAAAAACACAGAAAGCTGTTTGGTAGGCTTTAGACTGAGATTGGTGCCAAGCACCCTTTGTGAATGACAATTTGACAAAAGAATTTGTGGGATCCTTTGTCAGCAGTTGGGGTCAACTGAGTGCCAACGTCCCAGTTGACAAAGGGAAGACATGCCTATTGAGGAGACCTCTTTAATGGGTCTTTCAAGTATGTATTGAAAGTGTTTGGTGTGTGCATGTCGGTGTGCTACACGGATACGGACACTGTGTAATGTATGAATGATGCCTTACAATCTATTCATTGGCAATTGTTAGGTGGTCTGGATCCATTCACCATCACTTTGGCTTGTCCTTATTTAGCCTCATTTTTCAATTTTGGTTGACATTATTACTTGTTGGGTCCATCTATGATGTTATAAGAGTGAAAAGACTGAATGTTTGTTTGGCTCTGATGCTGCACAGGGTTGATTATACTGAACCTTTTGATACAGATATAGATGACTTTAAAGACCTCACTTGAATTGATTGAAGATAGGAGTACCTCTTGCTGGATACATTGAATCACTGTTGATTGTCCTGTTTAGATGTCTTGCAGGTTGACTGATCAGTATGAGCAGCCCCTGCAATATCCAATCAGTTGCCAGCTTCTCCTTCTGAAGTGTCACCAAAACGGGCACCCAACTTTCAACACATCCACTTCATCGCCCAATGACCTGTTTATAAGATCTTATCAATAGGTCTCATTGGTAACTTGATCTCATCATCACTATATGAAGTTGAGAACACAACTGGCAGGAAAGCAAGACACAAAAATGCAACCAAACAATCTTGTCTTATACCATCAGATCATGACTTTAGTTATAGATTCTGGGCTCATAAGGCTCCATGACAAAGGAATTGTATTACTATAAACAGAAAACTTAAAAAAGCCTGACTTTGACAGAGCTATCTCTTTTCATTATTTCCATAGTGATAATCTTGTGTTTGTGAATTTATGATGGCCTCTACCTCATTGACTTTGGATCTTTATACATCTTGGTTGGGACACCTTTACTATCTAAAAGGTTACAAGTTGGATGATGATAGTTCAGTTCATCATATCCGCTACTATGGTCGAGACATATTTGAAGCCAACTCACAATAAATGTGATTCAAACTTCCACAAGTATATCTTGTAGCAAAGGCGACGGGGTCATTCAACTCCTTGCTCCAGTGTGTACAAGCTTGGTCATACAAACATTGCAGGCATATCAAATTGCAGAATTTCAGCTTCGGTAAGTAAATCCACATTTCAATATCTGCAAGAATTTGTCTATTCACCAAAATGACTGGCCTTAAAGTTTTTGGGGTTGTATATTGAAACTTATACCAGGTGCATGTGACACCGGTGACGTTACAATCAACACCCTCAGTGGTGCCTGGCTCTTTTGTAGTTGACCGTGACCTAGCGTCAGTATTGCTCTTTGCTGAGTACAGTTTGTGACAACTACACAGTCAACAATCTCTTACTTGGGCGGTGGCATAGAGCATCTGGAATAGTGTAGCTGAACTTGCTGTTATTGCAATCTAGACATTCCGGTTCAGGGCATGCATGTCAGCACAATATATCAAGATCACACTTTTAATCGGGTTCATGATCCCTCCAGAGACGCTATACTTACGGGACTTTTGGGTGCTTTGGTTGCTGTTATACTCCCATCCGCACACCACATCCACGGGGTCAAGAGCTTTACTTTGGTTTACCAGATTCAAAACAACAAAAGTCATTATAGACTAATGGCAAGAACCAAGATTCATGTTGGTGGTGTAAAAGAGCTCTAGAGATGATATTTTACAGATGATAAAAGTTGAGAGTTCTGGTAGAACAAGATCTTAAAGAATTTTGAGGACTGATAGGTATTGGTGCTTACAAAGGAACTAAGGTCAACTCTTTAAATCTTTTCTCGGCAAAGACAATTGTGTGGAGCTGAGCATTCATGTTTCATTTGAAGAAATTTTAGCTTAGATGTTCCACAAGGCCAAGCCAGAGACCCATCATCAACCCGCCAAGCAAGTCACTTTCTGACCTCTCACAGATTGTACTGTATCAGACCCTGAAAACAACAAAACCCACATTGGCACCCTGCATCATGACAAATAAAAACTACTAACACATAGGTCTCTGCTGATGCAACAGATGTTAAAGAAGGCATTAAGACAATTAGGAAGATTTTGTTATACAAGAACTGAATAATAGGCGAGACACCACACTACATACAATGAAGTGACAGCCACAATATGTATCAATCATTGGCCCTGTGTCTCTTTTTTAGTGCATTGCTTAAAGTGCCTCCTGAGCCAATGGCCATCAGGCCTGTCTCTTGATACTCCAATCATTCCTTTGCTAGCAATACCACTGATTATAATCAATAATTCAACATTTTGTTACTCTTCACTTTGTCAGTTCCTTATTTTGTTGATCTTGCTCTTTAAATAGACAAATATGTAACAATTGATTACTTCATTCTGGATGCTGTCCCTGGCTTCTTTCAAGCTGTCATGCATGTTTTGTATGTGATTTTGGCATGATCATTCATTACCACTACTGTTGCTATTATATCCCTTAAACCTCATGTAAGGTCTGAAGACCTTCACTGCAATACTTCGAGCGGGAAACTGTGAAACACAGTCGATAGGTTTCTAGAACCCAAGAGATCTAATCTGTATTTCAAATACCAACGAGAACACTGGTTCCGAAGGATAAAGGGCGTGAGATTAGTCCCGGTATCTCTAAGGACTACAAGATGAAATAATGAAAGAAAAGAAATAGAAATGAGAAATATCCATACCTGGTTCCGAAGGATAAAGGGCGTGAGATTAGTCCCGGTATCTCTAAGGAACCAGTACGTGAGTGGAAGTAAGAACAACTATAAATGAGGTGAGCTTAAGTCTAAGTATTAATATTTAAGTATTTGTATATATGGTTGGGTAATGACCGCAGGTCTTACAGTCTCCCCTCCTTTAAAAGAATTCGAGTAGCCTGAAAAAATTGAAATAAAATAAAAGGAAAGAGAGAGAAAAAACTAATTAAAAGAGACAAAACAAAAATAAAACTGAAAGTTAATTGATTGTAACTGAATATAGCCGGTATAATTGAAAGTAAAAGCAAATAGAAAGAAGAAAAAAATTCATATATATATATGATAATAAAAGAAAGAAAAAAGAAAAGAAATAAAGAGAAGAGAAAAAAAAAAAAGGAAGCAACAAAATCGTAGAACAATGATGTGGTGGTGGTTGGTTGGGCGTTGAAAAAGTCTTGAGTATGCGCTTCCATTCATCGTTGAACCTGGTGGAGAGACGGCGCAAAGGTCGTGCTCACAAAGTGGCCTAGGTGTTGTTTTGACAATTTACGTAGTATACTACGGCGGTGCATACAAGGGAGAGGAACTTACTTCCGTACCCTGTTGGTCAACGTATTGACCCCATCCTCCTTCATTTCAACATACGGTTTCACCTTAGACA